GTAGGTGGGAACATATGCTGAAGAAGTGAGGAGGTGCTTCAGGGCATCACTTTCCCCTGCCTTCTCAACCTCAGCTTCTATGTCACTGAACAGCACGGACACATCCACCGTGGACATCAAGCACCACTGACCCATGACCTTGAACTGCCCATGTTTGGTTAGAGGAAGACAACCACAGGCCAATGACATGAAGTCAAGTCAATGCAATCTACAAAGCAATGTTTCATCTTTTTAAAATTGTTCTTAAATTTTAAAAAATTTTAATTCCAGCAACACTCAGGGAGTCCCCATTCCATCACTAGGAGTCATTTAAAGATTTCACCCAAGGAGAGATGACTGGGGACATTTTGACTTTCGAACAGATGGTGAACATTAAATAAACTTAAGTGCGGATCTAAAACAAAAATCTGGAAATGGAGCAGGTGAGAAAAATAGGATGTAAATGGCATCTGTTTACTGGGTGGAAACAATACAATAAGAGTGCAGGTTAAGACAGAAGAAAAGAGAAAACAGAGTAATGTCAAAACTTTGAGGTTGAGAGACCACTTAAAACTTAGAGACTGGATGTGAAAAGGATGACAAATTAATACGGAACCAAACGTGTCCAAGAACGGTTGGTGCAATGTTCGGCCCTGCCTATGACAAGCTTCCTAAACACCAAAGGCACATGTAGGCCCACATATGTGCACTCACAGAAAACAGAAAATACCACAGAGAGAGGAACATGGTCAAAAATTTTTCCCCATAGAGTAAGTATAGCCTACAAGAGATGGAGACTTTGCATTAAATATGATGAAATCCCAGAATATTTACATCACTTTATATCCATATCCACCAAATCAACCAGGAGAGTGAGGAATTAGAGCATCGAATACAAAAATTCACAAGGCCACAGTGATCGCCAAAACAAAAACTCTAATGATGTAGAACGGGGAGGGAATGTTTTCCACAGCACAATGCCAGCAAATACACGTTGTATAGGAATGATAAAGTTAGAATCCTTCCAATGTACACACACGGATGCGGTGATGACACACCACAGGGATCATTACAAGATGACAACATTTCAGAGAAAAACGTTACAGAAAAGGATCTTCATACATTCTCAGAGCTCCACTCACCACCACATTACTAGTTTTAGAAAGAAAACCATGTGTTCCTGTGAACAGATCTCACAGGCCCCTCCATAGCACGTGACCAATGCTGCTCTCACAAGAACGGTGACAGCAAACTGGCGCTCTCGGTCTCCGGGTGGGCTGAGCTGGGACACACACAGCCTACTATGGATGCCTGCAAAAGGTTAGGCTGAATTTAATCAGGAGGAATTTAATTTCCTGGTCCTAATCAGGATCAGACAACTTCAGGATGTAGACCATTAAGACAGATATCTGACCTGTCCCCTACAAACAAGGAAATGTCACCACCATCAGAGACAGCCACCTAAAGGTGAGGAGATGTCTTAAGAGGGCTTGAAAGGACTAAACAGTGACACATTTTTTAAGTGCTTTGGAACCCAAAAGATCTCTTCTCCTTTTTGTTGTCTCTTATTTGTGGTGACAATGACTGTTTGAAGAAAGACAGGCCAGGCGTCTTGTTCAATGGTCTACATCCTGAAGTTGACTGATGACTACCTTGTGCTCAAATTCAGGCTAACCCTTTGCGGCAAGAACACTGCAAAGTTGATGCTGTCTGCTCCTAGCGCAGCCCATCCGTTGGCCCAGAATGTGCAGGTTGACATGTGCTCTTTTTCCACGTTGCTCCCGAGTCCTCGGGTTCATCGCAGGATGGAATTGAGAGGAGCAAGACTTAAGGTCTCTCAAAACTGCACGTGATCCAGTCAGGCATTGGTCTCCTTGGCGATTTATCACGAGTGGAGGCTGAAGGGCTAAAATTTCTCTCGTCAAACCATGTTTTGCAGTCAAAATCACAGAGTGGCTTGTGGTTGTGATGTTGATTCTCAGCAAAGGATCCCTTCCGTGCTCTATTGGGGCTTTTCCTTGCTGCACTGTTTTAGATTTCTTTTCATCAAGTGGAAAATGATGGGGTTCTATGGTAGGATTTCATTCACATGAGGAATCTCTTCTCTTATTTCCTGAGGTACTTGGTGTCTGGCAGAGAGAGAGAGAGAGACAGAGAGAGAGAGAGAGAGAGAGAGAAATGGAATGTGAGTCTTTGTCAGATGCTGCTGATAGCTGAGCCTGGAGGGGTGGCTACGTGGTCACGGAGGCCAGGAGCAAGCTGAGCTCCTGTGCAGAGAAGAAGCTGAAGGGGGACCCACAAGCAGGCCGAGCTGGAGAGTAGGAGCCACAGGTCAGAAGTAACACCTCACTAAACTTACAGCCAGCCTGTGTTGCAGGACCCAGGGACCCCTGTGCTCCACCCAGAAGGAACCTGCTGAACCCAAGCTCAAGGCTGCTGTGAACTTTTGCCAGATCCTGACTACCTCCTCCTCAGCAGCCACTTCATGCTTGAACCTGCTTCAGCAGAAGCCAAGTGGTGGCTTTCTCATGCTTCCCAGGGAGGGAGGCACTCAGCACCTAACACACATATGCACAAACAGTCTTCCATAGGAAGGAGGGGACCCTTGGCAGACAAACACTCCCCCTTCTCACCCTTGTCCCAGTCTTCTGAGGAGGAGGCCAGGCTATAGAAGGAGTCCTAGAATGTGAGAGCCGGAAGGGGCCTCAGAATGTCCCCAAGTTCAGTTTTGCCATGTGCGGATGAGGAGACGTGGTCCAAGAGGCTAAGGACCACCCGAGCCATGTGACCTGTTCCTGAAAACCCTGGAGACTGAGACACAGGCTCAGGCCCTGCCCAAACATGTGGGGGAAGGGAGAAGAAAGCCTCAGTTCTGGAGGTGTGTGCAAGCAGTAGATGCTGTTGGTCACGTGGCCTGACAGGAAGCCGCCCAAAGGGGCTGAGGGAGGATCCCAAGAAGGAGAGACTCAAGGGGAATTAACAAAAACATCAGGGCATGTAACCAAGGCCCTACTCATTTTCACTCAGGTACACCAACATTCTCTGAAGGTAATGTCCCACAGGATAGAACTTAGGGCATTTCCAGGAATATCCTCAGTAGATGGACTCACCAAATTCTGAAGTGAAAATGAAAAAGCATTAGTTTTAGCTCCCTAGATTCTCATCCCTTCTTTTCCAAACTTTCCCTAAGTAAAAAAGTTTCTCAGTGTTTACACTGGTGTGCAGAAGGGCCTGCAAGTGGATTAACACAGGAGAATGAGACCTAAAATTCCCTACTGAGATTTTGTATAAGCACAAACTTTGATTAAAATATTTTGTTGCAAGCTGCAGTGACTCTGACGGGGGCTTTCAAATCCCCTTAGTGACTAGTGAATTGGCGTTTTCAATGTCAGAGGAGCAAAGAAAGCACTAAATTCCTTTACTTTTGATCAGGGAAGAGATTCTATATTGGACACTGGGTTCCTACGCAGGGTTTTATTCCTACTGTATCCCATATTATAAAATTTGTGGGAAACTAAGATCCGAAAGAGAGATCATCCATCTAGTTCCTCTGCGTATCTTTTTCCTCTGCTTTCTCTAGGCTGCGGTGTTGACGGAGGAATGCCAATTCCGTCAATGGCTGATAAACAGCTTTTCTAGGAAGTAGAACCCACACGGGGCCCTTCTATACTGCTCACGGAGACCCTACTGGATCCATGGCCCTTCTAATTTCTAGGAGCATACTAGTGGAGCTTTTAAAAAATCCTGTTACCCAAATTCCACCTCACAATCTTGAAATCAGAATCTTAAGGTACTGGGTGAAGGCACTCATGTTAGTTCAAAGCTGACTCAGTGTTTCTTTTATCCTAGCATGATTGATTTAGAAGTATTCGCTAAGCTACCCTAATTCACACCAGTGTTTTCTCGACCTCATCTCTTCCACCAGGAGGACACTGTCCCTAAGAATGTTGGTCTTCTTTCTGACAACCTGCCATGAATGACTTTCTTTCTCTGTTGGACTCGATTCTTGTGCATCTCCCCGGGTCTTCCAAAAGCAGCCCAAAGTGAATTCAGTACAATGCTCTAGTATGTTCTCTTGCCTGAAATTCAACCCAGTTGTTACCTTTTCGCTGATTCCTACTGAGCGTGGAGACATGGTGATGACCGCGAAAAGGGGAGACGTCTTGATGCCTAAGCACCTCATGTTCTATTCCTTTTGGAAACCTGGCATTAGCTTCTACCTTTGGCCGATGTCTCTTTAGAAAAGTGCCATTCCTGTCCTCCACCTGATGCCAACTACCATGTCCCCCCTAAGGTGGGGGACACAAAGTTCCCGGAAGCCCCATACGGGACTTCCCTTCTCATCTGGGGCTGAGGAGAAACCTGACTCCAGGCAGCCCAGTGTGGCACTCCCAGCTGTGACTCAGGTTCTCATTTAGCTTTTGTCCTGGGGGATCTTTCTCCTCTGTTTTCATACTTCTTATTCACATGGAGAAGATGCGGGTTAAGTGTCATCCGAGGTCAGATTCCCTGAAAGACCCAGGAGGAGAATCCTTGCGTAATGGCTCAATAAGACAATGCTCCTGGGAGAAAGAGGCCATGGAGTTGGGGAAGCGGGGTTGGGGGGGGGGGGGACTTGGGGGTGGGGGGTGGGGGTGGTGGCAAAGAAGCCAAGAAACTGTGTGATTTCCGGCAGACTGTTGCGTGTTTGGTGACATGTGTAGATGACGCTGCTCTGCTGAGGAGGCCCATGGGGCCTGCTGCCCCCTTGTCATGAGGAGAGGGGAGAGGGGAGAGGGCTGTACCTCAGGACAGCCCCAGCAGGAACACAGCAGAGTTCAGATGCAACCAGGTGATGGAGATGGAAGGGCCGGCAGGGCGGCAGCCCTTGTGGGAAACAGAGATAAGAGCAAACAAAAGAAGCTATGGGAGCGAACAAAGGAGGAAGAGCACAAACAGGGGTGGAGAGGATGGCGCTGTAATCTGAAGAAGAGCAATAGGAACCCATGCCCCAACAACACAGATGTGATAACCTCTGCGCCCTAAGCTTGAAGGCGGGGAAATCTGCATGCAAGTTGCCCCTGGATGAACTGCAGTTTCCTCTTGATAATCCTGTGTTTCGTGACACCTAGGGCCTTCACGGGGTCAAAGACTTGACACTCACACTGACTGGCCACCGAGCCCTCAGCAGTTTCACCTTCCAGCTTGAGAGTGTGGTTTGTCATGCCCACGGATGCATCCAAACCCAGCTCTGAAAACAAAAGCACATCAACAGGATCCGTTGTCATTCAGGATCTTTCTGAGCCTCCACCAATAAGACGTCAAAGAAGGCCAGTGGGCAGGACGAGAGAGGCCATCTGAATGTTCACGAGTGAGGAGAAGCCAATGGACACATTTTGATTATTTCCTGTTTTGTTCATCTTTCTTACCCTACCAAGAGGGCCAGGAGGTCAATAGGCTCGCAATGGATGAAAGCGAAATGGGGAAAAGCAGAATTGGTAAAAACAAAGAGTTACGGGGAAGAGAGGACAAAGGCAAGGAAAGCATGTCTGTACTATTAGAGAGGATATTGTAGAGATCTCACCCAAAGTCAAAGATGAAGGGAAGCTTTGGGAAGCAACAAGGAATGAGAAAGCTAGGGAATCTCTCCAACATGCCTCAACATATATTTCATATATGTACATTATGTATCATATACACACCAAATACCCATCTGTTGTGCCATAAGATATAAATGTGTGTATCTGTATGTCCGTATGTATTTAATGAGTAAATGATTACATAGGGGCTGGGGGACATGCAACAGAGTATTGTGAAACCTCCCTTCTTGGCAGTTGAAATTGGAAAAAATACACAAATTCAAGAAGAATGAGAAAAGCTTTTGCAAGAAACAGGTGAGCCTTTAAACATCGGGGAAGAATTATGAGGTGGAGGAAGTGGGAACAACACAGAGTAAAACCATCTGCCTATAGAATGATAGAATGTATTTGCCCCCAATTCATATGTTGCAACGTGATCCCTACTATGATGGTATTGCGGAGTGAACCCGTGGGAGGCAGAGCCCCCCATTAAAGGGATTCCTACCCTATAAAAGAGACCCCACAGAGCTGCCTCACCTCTCCACCCAGTGAGGACATAACTAGAAGCAGCCACCTGTGAACCAAGCAGGAAGTGTCACCAGGCACTGAATGTGCACCTGTTGGATTGTGGCTCTACTCAGTCTCCAGAACAGTGAGATACTAATTTCTGACGTTAATAAGCCAGCCTGTCTGGGCATTTTTTGTTATAAAAGCCAGAATGGACAAAAAAAAATCTGGCATGACCCTGGTTTCCTGCTCAGGTCTCTGTGGAAAGTGAGTCGCAGAGAGAGGGACTAAGCCAGCAGGTGGAGTCAGGGCCAGGACTGTGGGAGCCAAGGAGAGGTGACAGAGAAGCTAGAGGGAGAAGACAATAAGTACCTCAGTTTCTAAGGCCCTTGTCAAAGCTGTGCCTCCCCAAACACTCACTGAGCTCTTTCTCTCGGGCCTCTCCCCGGTGAGACAGTGCTGCTCCTTTTGTTACCTCCACATGGGTACTGGATCACCTCATTTCTCAGATGAGTTCTGAGCCTGACAGGGGAGCCCCGGGACACCCCAGGCTCCAGGAAGGGACACGTAAAGGGAGGGAGGGTAAAGACACCATGACCCAGGGGAGGGTTGAAAAGTTCGGTCTTAAGGAAATCTGAACAGAGGTGGATCCTATGAGCAGGAGTCTGGGGAGGAGGCGATGGAGATGAGAGGAGATGATGAGCTGGAGGGAAGATGAGAGAAGAGAGTGACGTGTGCACTTTATCTAAGAGAGTGGTCCCTTATTTCTTTAGAAAAAGAGAAAAATAAACAAGAGATTGTGTTGTGAGTCAGTATTTCCACTGTGGCTGTGAAAGCTTAACAGGGAAAATTGGCTTGAAGATGTGGAAGAGGAGAAAAATTGGCACACGAGCCTCTGAGAAAGCCAGGGAAGATGGGGTCCAGCCAAAGTGGAGCCGGGGAAAAATTGCTCCACCCCACGTGTAACAATGCCATGAAACCATTTCCCAAGCATTAAAGCACCACAGAGACACAAGAATTAGACATTACAAATTCAGAGATGTTATCAAGCAGTGGTTGTTGGATCAGGCCCCTTAAAAATAATGTTGTATCACGCTCCCAGCTTCGATGGGTGGGACACCATTGTCAGGGGTTTCAGATGAAGGTACTGAAGGGAAAATACATAAGAAGATGAATAGCTTGTCCAGTTTAAGAGCCCCTGGACACGGGGCAGAATGGATACTAAACACCAGGCTCTTGCTCACTCCCTGTATTGGAGCATCGTGAGATTTGACCTACCCCCTTTGTTGCCTCCAGCCACAAGCCTGTGAGTCCAACATAGAGACTAGAGCTTCCTACTTCCCTTCCCTCTCACCTTGGGAGAGTGGCCTTTGGTCCCCAGAACCCATCTTGGCTGCCAGGCTCCAGATGGTGGGGGAGAGGTCGAGCCTGGCTCTGTTGTCACCACGATCCAACTGCTGGCCCAGCTGCAACTGCAGAGAATTGGCCTCCTTGGTGCTGGGCTGTGGCTGTGCTCTTGAAGTTTGCACCTCTGCCCTTAGGAAAGTCAAGTTTCCACTCAATAGCCCCCGGTGACAGGGCACCTGCATGGGAGCTGAAGCAAGAAGAGATGTCAATGGGATAAACCCCAGTGTTCCTTAGCTGAGCACTCCCAGAACACCCATTTCTGACGTCCCCGCCCGTCCGTGAGATCACCCCGGGAGCGGGCACAAAAGCAGATATCATGTGTATGAAGATGTCACCATTATGTCTGTGCCTGGGAACGCTGGGACGGCAGGTGCCCAGGCTGCGAAGTCCCAGAAGCAAAAATCACCCCCTTGACTCCAGAGGGCCTTTAGATGGGCGCAGGAACTCATGCTTATTATCCTGTAACCTTCGTCCTATAGCCTACAGAAAACATTCTAGAGAGGCCTGGGGGCACGGGGAGAAGGAGATGTCAGTGTGTACCCGAAAGATAACAGAACAATGGAAGACGTTTGGCCTTGAGGCTTCAGGTACCACTAGAAAAGGGACTCGGGGGAAAAAGTACCATGGACCAAGTCAGGAGCACCTTTCTTGGCTCTGGAGCCTTTGGAACTTTCTCATGTACAATTTTTGACTGCCCTTCCACCCACCCACACCTGTATGTTCTATTGCCACCCGGAGGAGGCGCTGACAGGTGTGAGGAATGTAGCAGAGGTCTGAGTCCCGTAGGAAATTCCAGGGCCAGAAGTGCTCCAGGGTCAGACTCTGTGGGTCTTCAGGGAGGGCACATAGCACCCAGTCCCAGCATCACACACCCTTCGGGGAGGTGTGGGCAGCACTCCGTAATCAAACACGCTCAGGTTTCCACTGTGATGGGAGTATGTGTTCTCAGAAAGGGGGCTAACCAGACACTTGCAACACCCTCACACCAGAGCAGGTCAGCTTCAGTCGGGGCCGTGCCTCCTCCCTGCCATGTGGGCCCTCAGGTGATCTGAAGAGCAAAGAAATTCTGCTAACAATCCAAATACTCTCCCAGAAGGGAAGTCCAAAAAATAGCCCGAGAGGGAACAAATGGGAAATGGGTTTTACTCTGCACTCTTGTGTGACAGGGCCCCCAAGGGGGTCTTGCTCAGCAGGCAGCACTTCTCTGAAGATTATGGAGAGGGGATCGCCTGTGCTGAGGCCAATACCCACCCTAGGCGCACAGGCCACTGATCATTTACACGACATGGTGCCACAGAGAGTAGATACGTGACTGAAACCATATCCACACGTGGAAAAATCACTGATGCTGCACAGAGGGTGCAAAGTACTCCATCCATGGGGGATGAAAAACCAGAGCTAGAGCCTTAGCTTCACTGAAACCACAAGATCCTGGGTGCTCAGGATCTTCTATCTAAATGCTACAGAGGGCAGCTCAGGAGCAAATCTTTGGGATCAGCAAAAATATAATAGATGGTGCAAATATGGAGCTGACTGCAAACCTGTGTGGACAGCAGGAGAGATTATAGGAAGCAACGCAACTGGCAATAGAATTTCATGAGTAGCAGAAGACTCTAGTTGATAAAAGAAAGCGGTCTGTTACCCAGGTGTCTCCAGGTGACATAGTGGCGGCTGGGTTTTTGCCTTTTTCCCTCATTTCTCCTCTCTCCTGTCTTGGTACCAGTGCCCGCACCAGTGAGGGCGCAGGCGGCAGAGGGTAGTCTGGGACAGAAGGAAAGGGAAGTTGTCTGACCCACACGATGCCTTTTCTTATTTAAGGAGGCTCCATGCCCAGTGTGGAGCCCAACATGGGACTTACGTCACAACCCTGAGATCAAGACCTGAGCTGAGATCAAGAGTTGGACACTTAACCAACAGAGCCACCTGGGTGCCCCAGTGTTTTTAAAATTAAATCCAAGAGCAGAGTTCAAAAAAACCAGTATGAGTCTACAAGGCCTGTTGGCAAGCTTGCATGTCTCAGCCTATTTAGGTGGTTGGAGAGAAAGCAGAGAGGCTTCCTGGGGCCTCCCCAGGAACTTTATGGCCCTCACAATGGGAGTACGTACCGTCCACATCCAGACCCAAGAAGAGTTCCTGCTTATCAGATGTGAATGAGGCACTTGTATAAGGCCTGCAGGCGTCTGGCAGGTCATGGCCAACTGAAGGAGTCCAATAAGATTCATCCAGTGAGTCCCGTGGGACTTCATTCTCTTCTGCCACTGGCAGCTCCCTGTGGAGCCTCGTGTTCCAGGGAGTACTGAAGATGCAAGAAGAAGGTTGAGTCAACAGGGAGTCCCAGCTGGTCTTGGTGGTAGGGAGGAGGGAGTGGTGACAGAAAACAAATGGGAAGTCCCCATAAAGGGACATGAACCAGTCTGCCTCCATCTGGGGCCAGAGTGTGGATGCGCTGGGGATAGATCAGGGAAGTGCTCACAGCAGAATGGGAGCTTATGGGGAAGGAGTTTGAACCACCCAGTGCACAACAGTTACCACATACAGAACACTCAGAAAACAATAAAACCAGCATCAAGACGTTTGCAAACATTTTGTTGAAATTGGCAGAAAGCACCATCAGAACCCCAGGCTACGGCAGCATGGTAGATTCCTAGAAAGCTCCTGTGTCCAAGGCCTACTTCCCTAAATACTGAGGCATGAATTTTTTTCTAAATACTGTGTTTGCCATGAGTTCTTGCCAATGTTGTAATGACAAACTGGCAGAGACAGAGGGGCATCTCGGGCTGGACCCAACACAAAGAGACACTGTGAGAGTGCAAGACATCCTCTGATTGCTTAGTATCCTGCATCAATGAACTATATTTTCCCACATTTGAGAGGGATCAACAAAGGGGCCTGTATGAGTACCATAGTGAAACAGAGAACAGGGCTAGCGGATCATTGTGTGGGTGTCTGAATGGGTGAAACAGGTACATGTAGCACTGTCTAGATTTCCCTGGATCCGAGATCACCTGATGTCACCACCGAATTAAAGCCCATGATTCTTCAGAGTTACCTGGGGGCATATCTGGCCTTGGTCTTCTTCCTCCCAACAATCATTATGATTTCCTACAAATAAATACAGACGGGGCCAGGCACAATTAAACAGAACACCATCTTTACAGTAAAATTAAGTATCCAATCCAATGCAATTAGTGCAAGGGCATGTTTATCCTTAGTGGGGCAGCAAGAAATTGTAAGAGAAATCATCCAAGAGGACGCAGGTATTGTCTTGGGAAGAGACCTTGGTTTGCTTTCCTAAACCATGTGGCAGAGGCACATCTCAAGAGTCTGTGTCCAGAGTGAAACATCGGTTTTTCCACAGATTCTGGGGAACAGCTTACCTGCATCCAAAAAGCTTACTGCAACCTTCTCCCATTACCTTCTCCCATGAGATACTCTAGGTGTGATGGTTTAAGGGAATTTATATCCAGAGGCCAGACTGATGGATGGAATCTGCAAACCCTCAAATGAAAAGGAATCTTTGTGTATAATCCTTTGTGCTACATGTGCTACAGACATATGAGCCATGGGTGGGATGGGGCAATGCTCGGGCTCAGCTTGTCAGGGAAACATAACAGGCAAGCTGATGGTGGGGGTGTTTGATGTCCTGAGGCTCCAACGATGACTCATCAGATGAAGACAGCCAACACAGAGGACACAGACACTGGGGATGAGAATAGTCAAACCAGGGAAACAATCATCCAAAGATATAGGTAAAGCTAACAAATCTTTGGACAGGCACAACAATTCAAAGGACATTGTTCGAGTGTGAAAATGTAAGCACTGCAGATGAGGAGAGACACTTAATGGAAATCAGGAACAAAGACAGACTCCCCTGCATGTGCAGCGCAACTGAGTGTGTGCTTGTCACGTCTGCCTTGACTCTAATGTCCTAACTTCTGTGTCAGAAGCCTTAAGCTTGACCTGAGAAGAGGAGAAAAGGGCCAGTCCCTGACTCGCCTGATATCTGTTCTTAAAAGGCTATCCTAGAGCCAGACTCAGATCCTCATGTCTACCGGGCTTATACACAGCGATGACACATCTCAGCATAAGCAGAGGTGGGGATACCAAAGCTAGGGGGGTGGACTTGGGAGCTTTATCACCTTGATGATGGAGGACTCACTAGCTACTTCCAGAGCAGAACAGATGTCCACATCTTCAAATGAGTTCATGTTGGCCCTCAAGGAAGTCTTGTGGGAGTCAGACAGGTCAGGAAGGGCTGAATAAGTCAGATAGCATTCATCCAGGGGGTCCCGTGGGACATCCTGCTCTTTCACCTCTGGCAGCTCCCTGCTGAGCCTGGTAGGGTGGGGAGATCTGAAGATTAAAGCAAGCAAAGTAGACACCGCAGCATCCTACCGGTTTTCATGGGAGGCAGGGAAGTATAGTCATAACAAAGGGGCACACCCATTATTGACAGAAAAAAAACTCTCCTCCTGTTTCAGGGGCAGAGTGTGGCTACTGTGGGGGCAGTAGAGACAGATAGACAGCAGAAGGCGCTCAGGGCAGTGGCCACAGAACTAAGCTTCTGATCAACAAACTGAGCTATTGTGGAAGGGAAGTCATGGCTCATAGCACACATGCGGAATCCTAAAGGTGGCTTTAACACCTTTGCATCAGTTTTGTTGATATGACATTCAGTGACCAAGTGAACACAGGCTTTAAAAGGCATAATCAACATGGAGAGATCTTGTGTCTTCCACACTTCTTTCTCTTACTGCTGTGACATGATGTTTATTATATTTTAGGTAGTTTTTTATTTTTTTTTAAAATTTAAAAAAAATTTTTTTTTAATTTTTATTGTTTTATGATAGTCACAGAGAGAGAAAGAGAGAGGGCCAGAGACATAGGCAGAGGGAGAAGCAGGCTCCATGCACCAGGAGCCCGATGTGGGATTCGATCCCGGGTCTCCAGGATCGCGCCCTGGGCCAAAGGCAGGCGCCAAACCGCTGCGCCACCCAGGGATCCCTAGGTAGTTTTTTAGTGTAATACATCCTCAGCGTGGTGACACCAAAAAGGCTTATTTGCCTCTCACTCTGGTTTTATCAATAGGAGAGAACAGGGGAATGCCGAGAACCCGAGTGACTGGTGAATTCACCTTGTTCAATGGACGGCAGGTTATTGAAATGGAGCAGTCAATAAAAGGAACTTAGCCGTGTTAACACAGAGAAGGCATACACATCATGGTTAGAAAAGATACTTTGTGATTGGGGAATGGATGAAATAGGTACATTTGGCAGTTTCTGTTTTTTTTCCTTGAAATGTACCCTTGAATTTAACCACTGAAAAAGCCACCTATGATTCTTCAGAGTTACCTGGGGCATATCAGGTCTTGGTCTCCTTCCTCCTCATGATGGATTGGATTTTCTGTAAACATACACAGACCGGGCCAGTCATTAAGCAGATCCCTCTTTGTACGTTAATAATTCAGTGCCCAAAGTTACACGGGGACTCAGATATGATCAGTGTGAGAACAGGTTTAGTGGCAAGAATATTTCAGGGTGCCTCTGATAGTCTCTTCTGATAAGTGGCTTGATTTCCTACCTGTGCCATTGGGAAAATTTTACTTTATCTGAGAGACTATCATCAGAGTTTCCCCCTGTCTTCAGTCTTTTAACTTCTCATTTTTTCACAGTTTCTGGGGAGCCAGCTTCCCTGCTTCTAAAAGGATTACTGCCGTGTTCAGCCTTCTCCCATCAGACAGCCTGGTTGTTGAAGGCTTAGTGGAATTTATAGCCAGAGATGGAACAGATGGAATGTAACTACAAACCCTCAGATCAAAGTGAGTCTTTGGGGCTACACAGAATATTGGCCCAATTCATGTGGTGGGGGAATGCCAAGGCGCAGCTCCGCTTCTGAAAACACACCAACAAGCTAACAGTGGAGGTACTTATGGTGGGTTTTTAAACACCTGTTTAGGAAGACCAATCAACCCAAAGGACATAGAGACAGGGCTAAGAACAGCAAAACCACCGGAAAAGAATGCAGATTGACTGTGGCAGGCATAGATTCGTAAAGGACCTGGCTCAAAGATGAAACATAGAGCATTAAATGTGCGAAGGGACATTTCAACCAAATTAATTCTGACAGACACCTTCTACCACCATGTTACTGAGGTAAGTTGAGTTGGGCATGCCTGCCTTGGGGCCGATGACCTGACAGAGAAACCAGGTGACCTGGGCATGCCCTGGGACTAGGAAGAGAGCAAAGCTGCCTGGCCCATCTGATGTCTGTGCTTAAAACCCAGTCCTAGAGCCCAGTTCAGATGAATATTTCTCTACAGGGCTGCACACGGGGACGACCTCTTCTTGGAGAGTGGAGGTCTGGGGTACAAAAAACAGGAGATCTCTGTGGGTGTCCAGTTGGAGCTTTAACACCTTGACAGTGGGGGTACTCACTGGCCACTTCTAGAGGAAAACAGACTTCCAGTTCCTCAGGTGAGAAGATGGTGGCACTCCTCTAAGGCCAGTAATAGTCAGACAGGTCGGGAAGAGCTGAATATGTCAAGTAGCCTTCATCCAGAGAGTCCCATGGGATGTTCTGCTCTACCACTTCTAGCTGCAGTCTGCCGAGCCTGCAGGGTGGGGACACCTGAAGATTAACCTAAGAGGGATCTGGAATCCTATGTCCTGTCTGGCATTGATGGAAAGCAGGAAGGAGTGGTGAAGAAAGCAAAGAGGTTGTTGACCCATTAAGGAAAGAAAATTCTTCTTCTTCTTCTCCCTCTCCTTCTCCCTCCCCTTCCCTTTTCCCTTCCCCTTCTCCTTCTTTTCCTTTTCCTTCTCCTTCTCCTTCTTTTGTGGGACAAGGTATGTTTGCCACAGGGGCAGCCGATAGAAAGTACAGTAATTGCTCAGTGCACAGGTCAAATAGCAAGCTTGTGAAGGAGACTGAATTATCTCTGTGGCATCCAGTCATGACTCACTACATTCAGAGCCCCACAATGGTGGCTTTCTCCCTTCCATTCAAGTGGCAGTAAATTCTGCATGTAGTGGCCAAGCATGTACAGCCTTGGGGCAGTTGACTGTCCCAGAAATCTCATGTCATCAAACCCTCTTTCTCTCAATATCGTGACATGATAGAATATTTTTGCCTGTGTGCATTCTTGCTATGCACACATGCTTACATGCTAAATCTAACAGGCCTCTGCTTAGGGTAGACATGCACCTCTCTCTAAAGCACGGAGGAGAGAATGAGTGTGCTCAGCAAGCCCTGTTGACATAGGAGTGACCCACACCTGGGTCAGCTGACTGTGGGTTTCTCTTTTTTTTTAATTTAATTAATTAATTAATTAATTAATTAATTAATTTATGATAGTCACAGAGAGAGAGAGAGAGGCAGAGACACAGGCAGAGGGAGAAGCAGGCTCCATGCACCGGGAGCCCGATGTGGGATTCAATCCCGGGTCTCCAGGATCGCGCCCTGGGCCAAAGGCAGGCGCCAAACCGCTGCGCCACCCAGGGATTCCCTGACTGTGGGTTTCTCAACCAGAGTAGTAATTAAGAAATGGGAAGCAATACAAGTACTGCAAGGAAAACAGAACACATTGTGAAAATGGATAATTTGTCACTGACCAAATGGATACTGTAGTTCTCTTCAGCACTTTCTGCTTTTCCCTGCGTTGACGTCTACAGATGCCACCTTGGAATTTTCAGCCCCCAGTATTAAGAATTACCTGGGGGCAACTCATTCTTGTCCTTTCAGCTCCTCGTGATCAAGTTGACTTTCTGCAAATAAATGAAGAGAAAGACTTACAGTAAGCAGATTCCCCTTCACAAATGCCCACTCCTATCTCCCGAGTAGCACAGGACAGAAATACAGAGTATTGAGAGGAAACTGGGGGGAAAAAAATCACTGGGATGGCTCTCTCGAGCCATTGAACAAATGTCCCTGATATGACAGGCCAACACCACAGCCTCCTAAGTCTTGAGTCTATGCAGTGAATTGATCCTTTTCCCCCACAGATCCTGGCTGCTTCCTAGAGGATTGCCGCAAGATTCAGGCATTTCCAATCTGCAATGCTATTGGCTAATGGTTTAGAGGAATCAGCCATTGGGATTAAAACAATGAGTGCAATCTACGCACCAAAACCTGTAAATATTCTTCAAAGCTACAAAGAAACAGGGGCCATTCGTTCATGGAGTACAGAAGTCCCAGGACCCCGGGCTGGAGAGGCATAGGAGTCTAGCAGAGTTGCCTTGAAAGCAATGATTGACAGTGGCACAGCCATTGAAGTGCTACGGCTTACACAGAAATCGAGCAAAGCTCCCTGACTCGTGGAATGTCTTTTTTCAAACTCAACCCTACAGCCTGGATCAAAACAGTTTGTAAGTACACGAATTACTTATGGGGATTAAGCCTCTGGGTCTACACAGGTGTGGAGAACAAGCAATATGGACACTACCTGGGGGACCACGTGGAGTTTCAGCCCCTTTGGACTGGCAGCATTCACAGGGTAGATCCACAGCAGAGTCGAATTCTTATTCATCAGATGGAAATTCACCATCACCGGAAGCCTGGTGGCTCTCACTCCCGTCTTGGAGAATTGAAGGAGTCAAAACACATTCATCCGGTGGGTCCTGGAGGACCTCCTTCTTTTCAACTTCCTGCTGCTCTAGGCTGTGGGAGGTAGGACAGGAATGACAGAAGATCAAACCAGGAGGATCCCACACCATGGCTTCCTAGCTGGTTTTCAGTGGAGTGATAGGGAGTAGTCACAGAAAGCAACATGGCTGTGTTCTTGGAGGGAAAGAACTATCCTCCTACATTGCCTCCTACATGAGGAACACAGAGAGACACAGCAGAAGATATTCTGTGCACTGCCCCCATAACCAGGTGATGCAGGAGGAGACTAAAGTCTTCCTGCGTGTTGTTATAGGCATGACTCCCACACACAGGGAATTTTAAAAAGTGGCTTCCACCCTTCTGCATACATCGCAGTGACTTTTATATGCGGTGTCCAAGTGACTAAAGTTCCTGAGGCCTTATGGACTCGCAGACATTCTGACTACAAGGACCATTCTCTCAGTATTTTGATATAACATGCATTTGTTCTTCAATTTCCTCTCTTGCTATCAAAAATCCTGCCAACGCAATGATGCCAAACAGGCACAAAGCCGATACGCATCTCACCTTGGTTTTAACCACAAAGGAGAGAACAGCTGATTACAGGAATCCCTAGGTTTGGTCCATTCGTGTCTGTCTATTCACTGTACTCAACCTGTGAGGGAGTAAGAAATTGAGACCTACATAACTACCACATGGAAAGATGACATGGCTGAAGGGGATGTTCAGCTATTGGCTGAATGGATGAAATAGTTACATGCAGCTCTTTCTCTTTATCCCTAGATGTGAGGTCTCCACAGGTCACCAGGGAAATTCATACACCACAATCTTGAGAGTTACCTGGGGGACATTGGGTGGTGTCCATTTCCTTTCCCAAGATCTTTTTGATTTTCTGCAAATAAGTTCAGAGACAACAGGTCACGCTAAGGAAATCGCACTTCCCACATGACCAACACAGTGACCACGCACACTGCAAGGATGTTAAATTTCCCAGCGCAAGACCATTCTGTTCTGGCAGGGATATTCCAGGATCACAAAGGTTAAGTGTTATGGCCAGTAGACAGGACTGCTTCCTCACCTGTTGGGGAAATTCTCTTCCTCGTCTGCTACAAATTATCCCAATACCCTCCTCTGATGTGGGTCTGTGTAAAGAGTTCAGAATATACTTTCCCCAGAGGTCCTATGGAAGAGCCCAGGCAACTTCTAGAAGCGTTGCTGCAAAATTGGGTTGTTCCATGAGATACCAGGATTCTTGATGGTTCATAGGAATTTATACTTGAGACTAATGAATCGATTGTAGAGACCCTCAAATCAAAAAGAATCTTTGGCATTCTACTGAAACAAAGTCTGTCTGTGGTTTGAATGATGTCAGAGCCCAGCCTTGCTTCATAGAAACGTGCACTCAAGGTAATGACACAGTTGTATTCAGATGACTGCTTAGCTAAGTTGACCCAACATAGAGAAGATAGCGACTGGGACTGAGAGCAGTGAAACCAGGGAAAGCACCTCTCCTAGTAGGCAGGTATGTCAACCAACGACTTTGTACAGGCTTAGAAACTCGAGAGATATTGACCATACAGGAAAATTATCGTTGCGGGTAACAGAAGACATTTGATCCAAGTAGGGTATCTGACAACACCTTTGTGGATGTCCTACTGAGGTGGGTAAGGTTTGTCACCCCTGACATAGGTGCAATGGCCTGACACCGGGGTCGGGGTGGCAGAGGCATGACCCCTGCCTAGGACAGTTGAAGGCTCCCTGAACCACCGGATGTCTGTGTTTCCGAATCCATTATCTCCTGATTTAAACCAATATGTGTCTATAAGGCCTGTGCAGAGAGGTGACCTTTCTCATTCTAGACAAGATGTACGGAACACAGAATATGGACGCTACCTGGGGGACCACGTGGAGTTTCAGCCCCTTTGGACTGGGAACATTCACAGGGTAGATCCACAGCAGAGTCGAATTCTTGTTCATCAGATGAAAATTCACCATCACCGGAAGCCTGGTGGCTCTCACTCCTGTCTTGAAGAATTGAAGGAGTCAAAACACATTCATCCGGTGGGTCCTGGAGGATCCCCTTCTTTTCAACTTCCTGCTGCTCCAGGCTGTGGGCGGGTAGGACAGGAATGACAGAAGATCGGACCAAGAGGATCCCACACCATGGCTTCCTAACTGGTTTAGAGTGGTGTTATAGGGAGTGGTCACAAGAAGCATAGGGGGGGCATTGCCTTGAGAGGGAAGAAGCGATCCATCCAGTAAGAGACAGAGTGTGGCTGCCAAGGTATGGCAGAGCCGCAGCAGCAGATACTCAGTGCACCGGTCACCGAGGGACTGACTAGGAATGAGAGCCAGCCATCCCAGTATGGTACAGTCCCAACATGAAGCAGAGATGGAGACCAGGCCAGGGGCAGCCACCACGTGCCTGAGTTGTGTGGGCTTTAACATAGATTGGTCAGGCGGCTACAGCTCTGGAGTCCGTGCAGACTGGAGAAATTTGTGCCTTCTAGGCACCATGGTATTAGTAGTGTCACATGACACTGCAAGTTTGGGTTAAGTGCTTCTCTTGGTTTTTAATTTTGCCGGTTGTCTGCTTACTAATTCCTTTGCTACTCACCTGCCCACCAAGGACCTTAGAGAATCGTGTAGGAAATAGATACGCACCTCTTCCTCGTGTTCATTTACAGGGAAGAAGGGTATTTTGTAGCTACAGGGCATCTTAAGGCTAGTGAATTCATCTTGATCTTACAAGTACCACAGAGACAACAGACGACCAAGTTAACGGGGCCATCCATTGTTTGCATGTCTAGTTTTGCTTCTTGCATCTGGCACGCGAGACTCTCTAGACTTCACTTAGAGTCCTTTCTGAGGCCCTGTGCATTTTTTTAAAAAGATGCTATTTATTTATTCATGAGAGACACAGAAAGAGAGGCAGAGAAACAGGCAGAGAGAGAAGCAGGCTCCCTGTGGCGAGCCCAGTGCAGAACTCGATCCCGGGACAGCGGGATCACGCCAAACCACTGAGCCACCCAGGCATCCTGGCCCTGTCCATTTTTACCCACACATTACCGGTGCCTGAATACTCATGGTCACCTGGGGGTGAGTGTTTCTTGTTTTTCTTCATCCTCCTCATCGTCATAATTTTCTGCAAATAAATTCAGAAATGTCCTGTCAGCTATGTCCCACATCAGCACTAGACACCCAGTGGGCTTATGTGTCCCTAAAGACATAAGGACAGCTGCTGCAAACAGTGTAAGGGCAGGTGGGGAGTCTCCTGTGAGCCCAGGACCTTGGAGCGGCCTAGTGCAATCAGGGCCTGCGGCCGCCTTACCTGCACTGGGCTTTCGGGCAAGGCGCTTGGCCAGCCTGCCTCCCTCAGTCAGCTGCTCTTGGAAACCCTGCCCTCGAGAATGCTCAGGGTCATCGTGGGTGAGGAGGTCCTCGAGGTGCTCATTGAGGCGTTCAGAAATATCTGTCCCTTCCCGTAACTTTTGATACAACCGGGTCAGCTCTTTAGCATGATCTTTAATTAGGATATGACATTGCCTAGGGTGGGACAGAGAAAATTTGTAAATGCAGAGTTGAAGCAAAGATTAGAAGAGCTTTTGTGGAGACTTCTGGGAGAATTTCCCCAAGGAGTCCTGGAAGGCGAATTTGGGCATGTGTGTGGCGATCTGCCTGTGGCAGAGAAAGAAGGCAAAACAAGGCCTCCTCTATCAGAGGGCGCTCCTGTGAGCCTCCTTGACATCCCTTGTATCTTCTCTGTCTGTAAAAAAGCCAGGTGTCTTCCTAAACACACATCGGAGAGACGTCCCTTCAGCTTCTCACTTAGGGCACACTCATTTTCTGGTAAAACTACATACAGTGCATCAGGCACTGAATGGACATAGCTCCACACACACAAGCATGAACGTAATCAGCTGGTGTTAACTGGCAAGCCCAGGAGAACGGCAGGGTTGAGATGACTGTGTGTTCTAAAAGAAGGGATGACACGCTGTGGTCAGGAAGGTCGTGACGGTGTTAAACAGAAATGAGGGGGTGAACTCACAACATCGTGAATGTGCTAAATGCCATGAACTGTCCACTTGAATCTGATGGCGTTGACATGTTTTTTAAAAAGAGAAGATGGGGCTCTGAGTCATTGGAGTCCATAATCTACCAATTACTATGGCCTTAATGGTGTTACAACTATTTGTGTAACGTGCCTGCCGTGACCGTTTCTGCCCTTCTCCTGGCCCAGACCCGTTGCAGCCCCAAGTCAGAGATGCCCTCAGCTTCCCTCCAGCCTCCCACATGGAGCCCTCCTTACCTGAGCTTCTCAGCTAACACCTCTGTCCGCTTCCCCTCCTCCAACTGCAGCTTCTCCCCCAGCACGGATTCGATGATGTCGGTGAGCTCTTTACACCCTGAGAAACAGAGATGCCTGCCTCAGTGGAAAGCTGGACATGCTGCCGTGCTCGCTGCCTTCAAGGGAGGGGGCAGGGTCCATCCCAGGACAAATGTAACCCCGGCGACCAGGCTCTGCAGTGGGAGCTCCACGGCTCATTCCTCAGCCTCCCAACTACGGGGCGTGTGATTAGTCCCCGTTCTAGAGCCGAGGAAGGAACAGCCCCAAGCCACAGACAGTGACTAGACACGGTGAGTAACTGCTATTTGGTAGAGTCAAAATTCACATCCCCTCACAGCGACCCTGATCATGGCCACTCTAGCAAGCCTTGCAGCCTCTTAAGTAGACACTGAGCAGGGACAGGAAGTAAGGCCCCTAGGACGACAGGACTGATAGGTCCCCTGAGCTGGGATTTCTCTGTTGAACAAGTATACCAAGGGTAAAAATTCATGCAGATGCACTTGTGTGAAGTATAATGCATAAAGCCAGAAGGAACTGAAACGAATATGTCCAAACCCTAATAAAGTTTGTGATTAGAAGCAGCAGAATTATGAACAGGGTTTACACAGTGCCAGGCTCTGCATTAAGAGCTTTTCAAGAAATTACTCAGTACTGTGATTCAAAGAAGTAGGTGCCACAACAATAATAACCCGGGAAGGCTGGCCCAGAGACCTTGCTCTTCACCCCTGTTTTGAGGTACCCCCACTCCAAGCTCTCTAGTGATATCTGTTTTCATCATCTTAACAAAGGTTTCCCACAATTTTGTGATTCGTATTAGGAGAGATGTTAACAAAGCTTTGCTTGTGCTTTCCTGAAAGCTCAGTAACTCTTCACTTTCCTAAATAGCAGGCTTCAATTATCACCTTTCCCTGCATCAATCTTTTTTCATTTTACCTCCCCTTGCTGTACTGAAAGCCAGTTGTGAGAACATGACAAAAATTAGGGCTCAGAGCATCAGGATTCGTTACATCCCTGCAGCCCCCTCCTAAGGCCAGGCAGCTGAGCTCCCCATTTCAGGCTGACTGTGGGGGAGGGCCTACCCCCCACTCTAGCTCGGGGGGTTACTGGGGCCGCGGTCTCTCCCAGTCACCCTCATCCTCACTTGGCCACATGTTTCTTGGCCCAGACCTTGACCTGCTCGCCATCCTGCATCACTGAAGTTTCCCCAGCGTAGGGAGAGATAGATGGAGGCAGCACAGATTGTCTGAAATTCTCTGAGACACCCTCAACCTTACCACCGGGTATCAAATGGTGGCCTCCGTGGGCTCAGGAAGCAGAGCCTGTGCCCAGGTTCCCTCTCACCAGGGGAGTCACTGTGGATGGCGTCACTCATGGATACCACAGTTTCAGGGAAAGGAGGCCAACCTCCATCTCCTTGAAAGCAGGTACTGTCACCTGCTACCCGCCCCCCCCCCCCACTCACTGTGTGTGTACCATGTTTCCCCAGTGTAACTAGCTCAGCGTTTGCCAGCGGGACCCGGAGAAGCATAACCTGATGGGAGTTCCTCAGTCTCAGACACTTAGGCCGACAGTGAGCAGGACTGAGACAGTACAGAGAGGATCCCGAGAGGACCAGGCATTTCTGTGTCGGCACCAGGAAGCGATAACTGGAAAGCTAACTCTAACCCAACCCTGCAGTCTCTAACCTCTTGGTCTTCAGTTTTCCCATCCTGAGGGTAAAATACCCACTGCTACCTCTCCTGGATTGTGGCCAGAATGAAATTTATCGTGACAACGGAAATAGAGAAGATTACGTTTGGAGAGTTTTACTGTCTCAGAAGGAATACACACAGTCATCACGTTGGAGACCATAACCTTGTAGGACTTACTGTATTTCTGCAGCTGGTTGGCCTGGGAGTAGGCAGTAGCTTCGGACATAAGGAATTTCTCCTTGAGGTCTCGGAAGTCCTGCTGGCTTTTTTCCAGCTTGGATTGAAGCTCCTGGTTGATTTCCAGGAGGCTGATTTCTGCCCTCGGATCAGATGAGGGCCAAGAGGCACTGCCTTGGCGACCAGTGGCAGACGAGGTAGAGCTGGGGACTGGGGAGAAGAAACCCAAACACATGATGGGTTAAAAACAAGTGAAATCAAGTAAGTTTAATCAGGCCTGAGGGGTGAGGATACAGGAATTCTTTGCTTACTATTGGCAACAATTTGTGCAACACCCCACAGCACTCGAGAGTCGGTAACCACAACAACAAGCTCTGATGCCAGAGCTGAGAGCTGAAGGCAATGCCCGTAGCTCAGACTCCGATTGGAATGACAGGGGGAGCACCCAGCATTCTAGGTAACGGTCTGCAGTTGCAAGAACAGAATTGGAACCTGGTGGGGATCAAGGAACCTTGGGAGCCACTGATACACAAGGCTGCCTCGTCTCCCTGAAGGTCACCACTGATGGGGACCACCCCTCAGCAGCCACTCTCAATAGTTGTCTACCCTTGTGCTGACACCACAGATCCCATCTCTTTCTAAAAGTATATCTCAGCATAGTTCTCATTGTTCATTCTTGTGTGTGGATAGAGTCATCAAGGCAGAAATAGTTTCCCAATAAGTTTTCTTTTTTAAAAGATTTATTTGTTCAGTTGAGAGAATGAGAAGAGGGGTAGAGGGAGAGACTCTGACACGGAGCTCAATGCAGATCGTGTCCGTAGCTGAAACTACCCATCAGATCATGACCCTAGCGGAAACCAAGAGTCAAGCCCTCAACCAAGGGAAACACTCAGGCGCCTCACGCAACAGGTTTTCTTAAGGGTTGTCGTGGAGTCATTCCATTTCTCTTTCGGGTAAAATAGGTCTTAGGCTTTTCTAATATGTGAACGATTCCAAAGTCTTAAACTGTCATGATGTGACATGGGTCTCCTCTAGTTTTTTTCACTAGTAAAAACAGGAGAAAGACCAGAGGTAATTTACGCAATTAATTTTTAAAAATATTTTCTGTCTGAAATCTCTCAGTATTATTCTTCTTGCATTTCTGTGTTGTGTAGGTTTCTTTTCCCCATATATTTTCAATTTTCTTAGTCATACACCTACCTAGGAGTAGAATTGCTGTGTCACATGTAACCCTATGTTCAACTTTTTGAGGAACTGCCAAACTATTTTCCAAAGTAAAGGATCTACACGATTTTACATTCTCACTAGGAAAGTGTAAGAATTCCATTTCTCTACAACCTTCACAACACATGTATTGTTTCTTTTTTTTTTTTTAAGTCCTACTGGAGGGGTTAAGTGGGATCTCACTGTGGTTTAGATTTGTATTTTCCTCATGACTAATGATATTGAGCCCCTTTGTGTTCATTGTTTCATTGAAATTATCCTTTAGAACAGCTTAACAATAACCCACAACCCTTGGACCAACTTCTCCAGGATCATGCCTGGGCTGAAGGTGCCGCTAAACCGCTGAGCCACCCGGACTGCCCTAAAAATAAAATCTTAAAATTTCTTTTCATAATATGGAGAACCAGGGTGGCTCAGTTGGTTAAGACCCCAACTCTTGGTTTCAGCTCAGGTCATGCTCTTAGGGTCTTAAGATTGAGCTGGGGCTCAGTGTAGAGTTCTCTTGAGATTCTCTGCCTCTCCCTCCCTTTCTGTCCCTCCCCACTGCTTGCAGGCTTGTGTGGGCGCTCTCCCACACTTTCTCTCCTCTCAAATCAATAAACAAATAAATAAAATCTTTTAAAAATTTAAAGAGTTAAAAATAAAATAGAGATTGAGGAAAAGGTTGAAAGAAGCTATCTAAGAGGGAATGTGTAGTACAGTTTCACTTAATATGGCCCTGGATCAGTTAAAACCCAGTCAGTATTCCTAGTTGGGCTTGAAGCTCAAACCCCTCAGCTCCCAGATGAATGAGCTCTCTGGTTACCCAACCAAAGGCAGACACTGGTCCTCTATGGGGTCTCTCTAACCCAAGCTGCTACTCTGGGCTCTTTCACCTTGTCTAACTGTATCAGCTCAAAAGACATTGAGCCCAAAAATCATGTCACGGTGTCCACAGCTACATGATATCATAGAATCTGAAATGTGTCAGGGTCAAAATTACCAGACTCTAGCGTGCCCCATTCAGAAGGAAATGCTACATTTCTTTCAGAGATGAGTCGATAGAAAGATGTCATCATCCCACCCAGTATAAACAAATGCTGTTTGGAATGCATTTCTCTGGATCATGTCCCCAAGGCTGACTTACCAGTTTTGGTGCCTATTGGTCCTCACCAAATGCTCCCAGGACTTAGCAGGCTCTGTGGAGTCCCCTTCCACATCAGTGCATGGCCATTCCCCCCCTCCTCTTCCCACCATACTGTGGGATGCTGGTCCTCATGCCTTCCCCCTGGTTAGTGGGAGACTCACATAACATTGCTTGTTCCTCTGGAAATCCTGTTCCTCCATTTTGGACCTAACAGACACTTCATTTGAATCTATCTTCCTTCTCCTTTTGTTCCCTATACAATCTGGGCTCTGATTTCCAGAATATATCCTTAGCATGATCCTGAGACTTTTTTTTATTGTTGTTCTTATGCCTAGTGTTATAGTTTTCATTTTCAAGAGCTAATTTCCTACACTGCTCTGCTAATGAGGCCTCAGAATTCACAGGAGGCCTGAACCCAGAGGGTGATTATGTCACTTCCTGCCTGGTCAACCTGCTGGCCATTGGCGCGGCCAATGGGGTGGGTGGGGAAGATGTTGCATGCGGGGCATGGATCAGAGGGGAAGTAGCAAGGCAGGGCATCTCCTAATGGTCCTGTCTTATGTAGAGGAGGCAGCAACAGGGGCTGCTGTTTAGGCATCTATTGCTCACAGGCTCTAGGACCTACTACTCTAGGACTACCACCTGATTTATTCCAAGTTCTGTGTAGAAGGACTACAAGAGTGTGCATGTGTGCACACAAGTGCGTACCCTTGCACTTTTCCGTGGGTCCCAGAGATCCTGAATTTGTGGCATACAGAGTACAAGGCTATGCCTGGCCCCATAGGCTAGTTTTCTGTATATGCTCTTGTGGGTATACAAAAATTGCCCTATTTTTTCAAGGTAAGAATGCTCTGTTGGCACTTCATATTTTCCTGTTTAGTCCTCTCCAAATGTCATGAAAGGCATGTTAACAGCACATTTGACTATATAGGCTATTTAGTCCACCAATGTCATAAGCCTTACTTAATAGGAAGTTTTACATACATGTTGAGGATGAAATTGGGAGGCACAAGCAAAGAAGTCCAATTTGAGGCCCCAACACTTTTTGCAGGAAACTTTTTCTTACGTTAGGACATGCTTTGGCCCAAGTTGAACATATGTGGTGTCTGTGGTATATGAGGTCATCACTTACACATACCAAGCTGTTTAGGGTCATCTCCTATGCTTATAGTTACATAACTGATGTGACAGGTTCCAACTGGGCCACATAAATCCATAGATTCTAAGTTTGATTCCTTAACGGGTTCTACACACACCAGATACATCCTATTGTAAGCATGAATAGGGAAGGCCTCTCCCAGTACTAACTACCGTTAATGTGTTTGCCAAGAGGTCCCTTACCAGATGTTTATAAGAAAAATTAACTAGGATCTGTTTGTCACCCAGGCCAGCCTCACTGAAGGGAATTAACAACACCTGAAAGGAACATGGTTGTTCTTCTATTTCCCAAACTGACTAGATGGAGTTTTTAGGCAACTTATAAATCAGCAGGAACTCAACTTTATTTCTCTGAGAAAATATACAGTGTTTCTCCCAGTCTTGCTTATTAGTCAGAGCCAGATTTCTGAGAGAGAGAGAGCTATACAGATTTTTATAAGAAATAGCATGAGGAATTAAACCTGAGATGTAAAGAGAGAACAGTTGGAATGCTACAGAGAGAAAAGTGATCACTTCTTACAAGGTAGGAGTTCAGAGAAGAAAAATGGAGGGGATATATCAGAAGATAAACAGCGAGGGGGAGGGAGTCTTGGTAAGCTGCTGCAGGAAAGTGCTATAGCACACACTTTAGAAATCTGCTCCTGAGAGTCTTCCCTGACTGAAAAGTGCTCAGGGGGGAAATAGGGCAGAATCACAGGAGGGCAGGGAAGTCTCAATATTCTCAGAGATACAGGAAGAATAGGGATTCCTGGGAGAAAGCTCAACCTATGCCTAAACTGCAAACTGTAGTAGGATCACAGGACCAATGCCTCCAAGGTCCTGGTAAAGGGCTGGAACGCAGCAACCTTCTTGGGACATCTGGGAGGCAGGCTGGGTTTGCAGTTCAGTAGCGCAGGTCTCTCTGTCCCAGGGCCCGGCAGCAGACAGAAGCCGGCTATCCTCTGTTCCCTCCAGGAGACGTGGAAACGAGGAGGGGACAAGTCAGTGAAAGCTCTCTCGCAGCTCGGTGCCCTTCAATTTATATGAATCAGTGCCCCTACACCTACCCCCAGGAGGATCTAAGCCACTGTGCACTGAGAGATTGCAGTTTAGTTCTCATGGGGAAGTCTTGGTTCTGGGGCTGGAGGTTTGGCTGTTGTCATTTTTTACCCCTCCTTTTACCTGGGAGAGGTGCAACCTCCAGGGAACTAAGGCCTTACAGGACAAACAGTTCACACTAAGCTTAACCACCTGGCAAGGGGCGGGGCATCTCCTCCCAGGGACAGACACCTGAGTATCAGCACAGCAGGCTCCTCCCACAGAAACATCTGGAAGAACAGGGTAAAAGCAAGTTCACTTACCAAGCAGCACTGAAAAGTTCCAGGACTAAGGGAAAATAGTATATAGAACTTGAGGTTTTTTCCTTATGATTTATCTTTCAGGTTAAAAATTTCCAAAATTTTTTCTTTTTTCCTGCCTTAACTATATTTTATCAACTCTTCATTTTCAAGTTTTTTTTTCCTTTTTCCTTTCATATTTTTACAATTACATGTCATAGATATATTCTTCATTTTTGGATTCCTTTCAATGTATTTGATTTAATATTTGTAGATATATAAGTTATGGGGTTTTTTGGTCTTGTTTTGTTTTATAATTTTGGAATTTATATCTTCTAATATATGGACCAAAATTAACTCAGAACCAAGTGAAGCACTGTGTTGGTCCACTCTGTGAGACTATTCTCTCTTCCTTTCCATTCTGTCCCCCTCTTTTGTCTTCTTGTTTTTGTTTCTGTGGTTGCTGTTTTTCTCTACATATGTTTTGCTGGTTTATATAAATTTGTAATTTAGCACCTTCTAATATACAGAACAAAATACACTTAGAACCAAGAGGATCATCCTCTTAGTCCACTCTGTGAGACTATATTCTCTCTCCCCCACCTTCTTTTTTTTCACTTTTGTGGTCTTTTATCTCTTTTTTTCTTTTCCTATTTTCTTTTCTCTTCTTTCTTTTCTCTTACTTTTTCTTTTATTTTCTGGTCCCTGACCTCTTTGGAATTGTCTATGGTGTGTTTTACTTAGGTTGTGGTTGCTATTTTTGACTCTGCTAGCTCATACAGCCATTCTGCACCAGACAAAATGACTAGAAGGAAGAATTCACCACAAAAGAAAGAACCAGAAGTGATACTCTCTGCCACATATCTAATGGATATGGATTTAAGTCATGTCAGAGATACAATTCAGGGGTACAATTATAAAATTACTGGTGTCTCTTAAAAAAAGCATAAAGGACTCTAGCGATTCTCTTACTGCAGAATTGAGATCTAATCAGGCCAAAATTAAAATTACTTTAACTGAGATGCAGTCTAAACCAGATGCTCTAATTGCTAGGGTTAATGAGATAGAAGAGAGAGTGAATGACATAGAAGACAAATTGGTGGAAAGGGAGGAAGTTGATGAAAAAAGAGAAAAACAAGTAAGAACCCACAAGGAAAGGCTTCAGGAAATAAGTGATAGTTTGCGAATGAATAATATTCATACTGGAATTCCAGGAGATGTGGAGAGATGGAGAGAGAGAGAGAGAGAGAGCCACAAAGTATATTTGACCAAATCATAGCTAAGAATGTCCCTAATCTGGGGAAGAAAACAAGCATTCAGGTCCAAAAGATAGATAAGAGGACCCCCCCAAATCAACAAAAACTGATCAACACCCCAACATATAATAGTGAAGCTTGCAAATTTCAGACATAAAGAGAAAATCCCCAAAGCAGCTCAAGACAAGAGGTCCCTAAATTATATGGGGAGAAATATCAGATTCACAGCACCTCTCCACAGAGACTTGGCAGGCCAGAAAGGGCTGGTGTGACGTAAACAGCGTACTAAATGAGAAAAACATGCAGCCAATAATACTTTATCCAGCAAGGCTGTCATTCAGAATAGAAGGAGAGATAAAGAGCTTCCAGGATAGGCAGAAACTGAAAGAATATGTGAACACCAAACCAACTCTGCAAGAAATATTAAGGAGGACACTATAAGTGAAGGAGGGAGCCCAAGAAACAATCCACAGAAAAAAGGACTGTATAGGTAATACGATGACACTAAATTCATGTCTTTCAATAGTTACTCTTTTTTTTAGATTTATTTATTTATTCATAGAGACAGAGAGAGAGGCAGAGACACAGGCAGAGGGAGAAGCAGGCTCCATGCAGGGAGCCCGACGTGGGACTCGATCCAGGGTCCCCAGGATCGTGCCCCGGGCTGCAGGCGGTGCTAAACCGCTGCGCCACCGGGGCTGCCCTCAATAGTTACTCTTAATGTAAATGGGCTAAATGATCTGATCAAAAGACACAGGGTATCTGACTGGATAAAAAAAGCAAGACTTATCTGTATACTGTCTATAAGAGACTCATTTTAGACCTAATGATAATGAAGATGGGTAGAGACTGAAAATGAAGGGGGTAGAGACCATTTACAATGCAGATGGTCCTCAAAAGAAAGCTGGGGTAACAATCCTCATATCAGATAAATTAGATTTTAAACCAAAGACTGTAATAAGAGATGAAGAGGGACACTATATCATACTTAAAGGGTCTATCCAACAAGAATACCTAACAATTATGAATATTTATACCCCTAATGGGGGAGCAGCCAAGTATATCAATTAATAACCAAAGTAAAGGGATACCTAGATAATAATACATTAATAGTAGGAGACTTCAGTACGGCACTCTCAGCAAAGGACAGATATTCTAAGCAGAACATCACCAAAGAAACAAGGCCCTTGAATGATACACTGGACCAAACGCATTTCACAGATATATACAGAACATTCTATCCTGATGCAGCAGAATACACATTTTTCTCAAGGGCACATGGAACTTTCTCCAGAATAGACCACATACTGGGTCAGAAATCAGGTCTCAACTGATACCAAAAGATTGGAATTATCCCCTGCATATTTTCCAACCACAATGCTTTGAAACTGGAAGAAGAAATTTGGAAGAAACTCAAACAAGTGGAGGTTAAAGAGAATTCTACTAAAAGATGAATGGGTCAACCAGGAA